AGTTAATGCGTTTTATTTTGCTGTATTCACCTCCAGTGCGTAATCCAGCAATTTCCTTAATTACTCCGTATTTTAACCCCTCAAATTTTCTAATGTTAACAAATGGCGTGTTGGGTTAATTTCTCTTACACAATAAACGCCCCCGAAATACTACAGTTATGTACCTACATTTCTATTTTATGCACTGATATTTTTTTTAAATTTACAACAAACACTCGCTTAAAATATTGTTATAAAAATACAGCACAAACAAAACCTAGAAATGTACCCTCGATGTTTCCACAGTGGTAGAAATATTCGAGTACAATCATTATGCACATCATTGCATGCTGTCGGTGGAAACGTCTTGAGGAAGTTGTAAAGCGATACGTGCAAATGCCGCAGAGATACGTTATCATGTTGCAACGTTTCCACCCTTCCACCCCTTTTTTTTTTAGCCGATAACGGACGCCGCCAAAGGAAGGGACATTCGTCGGAAAGGAGACTTTCTCGGAGGGAAGATATATCGCGTCGGCGCTAATAAATTAGGGTTAAAGTGCTAACAAGACGAAAAAAAAAGAAGGGTTTCTTTTAAATAGGACACGCAACTCTATGTTAATAAATCGGTCGGCATTTGCATAGCTATTACTTGGTATACGGCTATCGAAAATTTACAATTTAGATTACGCCGCGAAATTAATAAAGTGTGTCTCGGTTCGTTTGTTGGCCGTTACGCAAACAGGCGATTTTGTCGTTACGAGATTTTCTTATTAAAACAATCAGATTACTTATCGTTAATTAAACGAATTACATTCGACATATTAGATTCTATAATGCTCTATAAAAGTCATCTACTGATTTATTAAACTTCTAACTCACCGACTGTAATGCATCGACTAAACTTCACCGATGAGAGGCATTTAGTTATATTTAGAATAGACATCTAATCAAATATATTGAATATATAGATATGAAAAAAAAATCAGTTTGTAAAGAGGTATTTAATTGCAGGGGCGATTGTGAAAGGGCGCGAATAATTCGGCAATTTACATGCAGCCGTTGTGCACCTGTAGAAGCGGAATTAAATTCCGATCTGCCGAATCGCGTAATAGCCCAAATAATTAAGCGAACTTACTTAAATAATTCCGAAAAGTTTCGTCGAGTCATAATTGTGATAAATATTTCGACTTCGCGCGTCGCCGACGCCTAAAAACTTTATATAAAGTAACGAGCACTTCCGTCTCCGGTCTAATGAAGTTTGAAATAATAAAACTCTCATAAACTGCTGGAACAATATGAAAAGAGAAACACAACGTAATGAAATGTAGTTTTGCTGCTTTTTGTACGATTCTTTTGTCTTATAGACTCCAAAGTTTTACGATGTCAGCAGTCTTGATAAGTTATATCTATTACGCCAGTCGCATGTCAGCACACACTAAATATTTCTCCCTATTTTCGATTGCACGAAAAACGTCTTATTAGTTGATTAAAAAATAAAAATGTCTTTTCCCCAAAAAGATACCTACTTTCTTCTTATCTAACTGTTCATTCTTTTACACTGTCTGTTCATTTTATTACACTATCTGTTCATTTTTCAAGTCTGTTCATTTTTTTACACTGGCTATTTCCTTACACTATCTGCTCATTTTCTAACACTGTCTGTTTTTTGTCTGATGCACTATCTGTTCATTTTCTTACAGTGCCTGTTTAATTTTTTACAAAATGCTCATTTTTTACACTGATTGTTAATTTTTTACACCGTATATTAATTTTTACACTGCGTATTCATTTTTTATACTGTTTGTTCGCAATATTAGCATTGAACCTTAAGTAAAAAGAAATTGGTTCGAAAATAGCCCGTGTTTATTAACATATCTTTGAATAAAAATTTTAATCTCCTCCTAGATGAATGACATGCGACAAATTGTAGATTGTGTTCGAGCGTTCGAGTACAAGGAAAACGATATTTTAAGAATAGAAATTCGTATTTATCGCGTAGAATATTAATCAAGATTCTTGTCCAGGTTGTTCTGCGAACAAAGTATATGAAATGCATTCGAGAAATGATATTTTCGCGTTGAAATATTAAGGTGTAGTGTATTTTTTGTACAGTTTACCAGTTAATTATTTGCACTTTCTGTTCATTTACAGCCATCAGAATAAATCTAAATAATTAAAGCGAAATGCGGGAGTGGAATGCCGAAAGTATTTGCGAATTTTCCCCGCTATTCAATGAGTAAATGGAACAACCAGATGGACGATCGGACCGACAAAAAACATGTTAAAAATTTGATATTAGTTTTCATTGAGCGAAACTACGACAAGCGTAAAAAAATACCCAAACGAACTCGTGTGCACGCGAAACAGTGCAAACATGATTTTCACAAAACGGCCGTAATATTTCAACCGTTACCCAATTGCAACATTGATTTATTACGATATTACCGCAAAATAATGGACTTTTTATGGCGGATAATTGTTCTGCAATTAGTCCTCTACATTGAAGAATTCGCGCTGTACGCGAATTTTGTTTATCGCTTTTGCCCGAATGCAATATTTAATTTTCGGAATGCAACGGGGCCCCGGAGAGTTTCCCTTCGATAAATGTTTGTACGCAGCAATTTCCGCCCGTAAAAGAATTTATCGATTTCGCAAATTCCCTCCGATGCGTTTACTTCCCTTACATATACAGAGAGTTAAATTGTTACCGCGAATCGCGAACGCGATTCACTTCGAAATCAAAGGTAACAATTCGCATTTCGCTTTCTATTAGTCGACTAGTTGGGCTCCCTCAGTCCCCGGCGACAGACGAATGACAAGATAATAAGGTGATAACGAACATCGACGGTTGGAAACTTGGCGATACGACCGAGTGCGGTGTAAACGCCACAATAAATGGAGAAAGGACTCCGTATTCGAGTCAAAAGGACTATTCTAGCGTACCTATTTAGCGCATTTTAATATGTAAAATAGGTCGTGGAAGTTCCAAAACTTAACTAACCTCGCTATAACGGGGCTTATTAGAAAGTTCTTTTTTTTTGTATTCTGTAGAACGTCTCGTTGAGCTCAATTGCTATTAAATTCACTGGTTAATTTTTATTAATGGGTTTAGTTTTAGCACCAGGAAAGTATCGTTATTTCGCTAGTAATAGGTTTAAAATGACCATTTTTGTGAATTGTGAAATTATTCAGTGTGAAGAAGTTGCTGATGGTCTTTGCGGTAGACTATTTATTTTACCAAGTGAATCTAGGGGAGAATGAAAAAAGGTTTTTTGGCTTTCTGAGCTATGAACACTACAGGGCGATAAAACTCTTATAAAAGATAAGAGAATTAATAAATATTCAACAAAATTTTAGAAGCTTATTGCCAACTATTAAAAAAATCCCATTCATATATTTCCACCCGGTACATAAAGTAAAATGCTCGGAATAAAATTTACGTTTCGAAGGCATAAATTTCCCCGCCGGCAGCAGGTAGGCATTCATAATGATCGCTAGTTTTACGCGGCCTTATTTTATTAGAGAAACTTCAATAGCAGGCGTTCCCGTTGAATTTCAATAGGGGTAGTTTTTAAATTCGCGTTCTCGCGCCCCCTCGGCGCTTTCTCCCGCCGCCAGATTTATGAACTTAATTGCCCCCCAAACACTTGCATCTGATAACCGGAGTCGAGTTCTGCATTAACGAAATTTCGTATTTAATCCGAGCTAAATTACATTCTCGAAAACAAAACGTCGAGGATTTTCGAAACAATGGCTACACCGATACAGAGTATGCCGTCTGCTCAGACGTCATAAGTTTTATTCAGCTCTATATATAAACAGTCTGAGGAATATATTTCATCGGATCTGCGACGTGACCCTCAAAGACTCGCTCGAACAAACGCCGTTAAGGGCGGCATTAACCCCCGTTTTGAATGGTGTATATAGCTTTTGATATACTCGATGGTGTGACGGGCTGTTTATAATTTTCACTTGCGGGATTTAAAATCGGGACTCCGTTAAATGGAGACCGGAACGGAATTTGCAAAACAATGGGGGGCGCCTAGTTCGCGTTTTGTTCCTAAAAAGAAAGTGATTTATCGCGCAAAAAGCAACTTTTAATTTCCGGGGGGGTGGCATTCAATTTGATCTCGTTATTCGCAGTATAACGCGTACATATTTATCTAAAAATAGTCGAGTTAATTTACTTAAAACTATTTTATTTCGGTGACCCACGCACGATGGAGGAGCGTTTATTAATAACCATATTTTTACCTGGCACCTTTCTCGTTTTTTAACCGTAAATCCCGGCTATAACGTTTCGCGAAAACAATGATTTGACATGTTTATGGAGGTCGTGGATTTTTGCGTTTGCTACGCGCATATTTCGCCCGTTAATAACCCTTTTGTACGGCGCAGATTGACGTATTAATATTAATTGAACCAGAATAGAATTTATATTAGGTAAGAACTTCAAACAAGGGCGGTCATAGGGATATAACTTCATTACGCTCGAAGTTGTTCAGAATTTCGCATTATAAAGGAATTATCCGGCATAACAAAGGCCAATAAAAGTGCGGTCGGGGTTTTCGCGTCTTCAAAGGAATCACGCTAGGCGCATACACTATATATTATCTATACTAAACACACTACAATATGGAGTCAAAACATTCCAAAGTTCCATCGATGCGCTTTGAAGACGGTCTAATAACGCATACGGGGCGCGAAAGTTTACCGTTCGTTTGTGCCCGGCATTGTTTTTAAGGCGAACTTTCCAGATTTTCCAGCAGAGATCGCGCGCTGAATGCCGAGAAGTCGACTAGTCGCTTCGTATTCTTTATAATTAATATTTACGACTTAACTTTAACACGCAGAAGAGTTTACGACGAGAATATTCATACTATAAACGGTAGTTCTTTTGTACTTTCCGAGCTCGTAAGTCGGAATTTCAATTCGTCTAATAGCGCAGTGTGAAAACTGGAAAGATTTTTAGTTTCAATTTAACGGCCGGTTTTTTTTAAATAAAATTCGTTTTGTTTCAGATTTGAAAACCACATGGATGGATATCCTGGAACTTAATAAAATATCTGTCGTTGCCAAAAAGACAACACAAAAGTAAGTTACACTTCTTACAAAATACCTAATCGCACAATCGATGAATGCGCTTAAACAGTAAATAAATTCATTCACCATTTCCAACTTCGGTATTCAGGAGGAATCAATTAATTCCTATTGTCGAAAATGAAAAAAGCTCCTCGAATGGTGAATTCCTGTTCGGCATTAAAACGAGCAATATTCCGCCCCGACCAGAAGGAAGCCCTCTCTCCTGCTCCGATGATATTTTCGATTTTTTAAATATCGGCAGCTCGAATTGGAAAACGGGGGGAAAAAAGAACGCCGAGAAACAATGGTTTTGCATAAAAGTCGTAACGAAAACCGTCGTATTCGATGGGCCCTTTGTTTAAATCGATTCGCCGGAATTTAATACCGCTCCAGAAGCCAGTGTAATTGTAAAAGACGGCCAATGTATTAAACAATTCGCTCGACTCAAAATTTTTACTAATCAACCACCGTTACATCTGCACACTAACCGCTTTCCTTCTTCTCTTTTGATGCGAAACAGAGAGTTCCGGGCCTTCCGCAGCAACTTCCGCTCCTTCTCCTCGTTTATCCTCCGCTGGATCTCGCTCCTGTTGTAGCTGTCCTTCTGCAGGCGCTCCTGCTTCCGCTGCTGCCTCTTCTTTCGCTTCTCCTCCAAGGCGATCTTCTCGCGCACCTCGCTCTCCTTCTTCGCCAGCCACTGCTTCACCGCCTCCTTCTTCTCCTGCTCGTCGTCGTCGATGCTCTGCAGGCTGCTCGAACGCAACGACTGGCTGCCGTTGACGAAGTACTTCTTCTGCACCTCCCGGTCTTTCTTCGTGAACCATTCGATCACCCGGCGGTTCTTCTCGTAGTTCAGGTCGAAGACGCCACCCAGGTCGCCGGAGCCTCGGGTTGTCTTGAGTTTGCGTTTTTTCGTTGATGCGCGCTTCGGTTTCTTCATTGATGTGGATTGTGTAGGTGTTGATGCGATGGAATTTGGAAAGTTGTGTCAAAAATTGATTGATAGTTGTCAGTTAGTTTTGGTTTGCTGGGACCAAAAGTGAAGCTCTGTTTGCTAAGAAACAGCTCAAGCAAAGTACAAGTAATAAATAGATGATTTTTTGTGTTAATTTATTTACCATTAATTCTTACATTTCTCGATTCTTTATTCTTCCTTTTGATTTCTTTCTGTTTCTTGCTGAGCCACGATTTGAAGACCTCGTCACTGCATCTCATGTGGTTAGTGATGCTTGTAGGTAAAGATGCTCGCTCTTTCAATACAACCGTATCGTAAATGCATTTGTTCCTGAAAATTGAGCCTTGTTAGAAGGAATTTAAAATTTGAAATTCGCTTCCGTGCTTTTTTAACAATTGGATATTGCGTTGGTACGGGCAGAGAAGCTTCTTCTCCCTCGCTTCGGCTATTCGTCTTTTCGCTTCGATTAATCTGTGTTTTTCTTTTTTCTCTTCGTCGAGTCTGTCGTTCTTCTCCTTCGTTCGAGCGTGCTCTTCCAGCAAATTTTGGCGTGCTTGTTGCGTTTTGGATTTTAGCCAGCCTTTCAGCTGCTCGTGTTTGTCCTCGAGGAGCACCAGGCTCACGAAACTCCACGTACTCCGCGGGTATTCCTCGAACTTACGATTATAAGACATTGATGATTAACGGTAAACAAATTTAAAACTTCAAAATTTGTAAATGACAACCGGGAAAAGAAGATTTACTATACAGTTAGAAGTTTATTGACCATTCGGAACTTATAATATTATATACAATTTTTATTTTGATAGTTTTTTAATTTTGGAGAGTTTTCGGCGAGCGTGCTTTAATAATTCCTGTTCGTTTTGTTTTCTGAGTTTTATCTGCTCTTTGATTCTCTTTCGTCGTTGTTTCCTCTGGTTATCGATTTCTTCTTGCTGTTGTTTGGCTAGTTCTATCTCGTTCAAGCATTTTCGGAGCGCTTGCCTTTCCTTGTTCATCGTCCATTCTTTGATTTTCTCTTCTTTGCTCCTCTCTTCGTTGAAGATGCTTATCGCGCTGGATGATCGTCTGGACTCTTTCAACACGAGGATCTTATATTCGATTCTTCTAGGCATCGATAGGAATGTACCATATGTTGGCGAATAAACTTCAAACTGATTGTGGAGATGATGATGATGATTGTGACAGTGGTTGTCAAATGTAGTCAAGTTTGGTAGATTGGTACAAAAGGGATATTTTTTTTTAATTTTTCGTAAAACACGTGTTCTGCGTTGTAATAGTCAATTTCCGGCGGGTAATCGTCCGGTAATCCAGTTTCGAATGTCCGCATACACCGATATTGTATAAATTTGGACGCGCGATGTTCGTCAAAGTAATCGCATCGGATTTACGTAGAATGCAGTGTAAATATGAGTTTTTTAATCTCGTTCCAGCCTCGCGCACCGAACGAAATTTCGATGCAAAATCGCCCTGCAGCTTCACCTTTAGTTTTGACAACCAATAACATCCTACAAAATCGAAAATCAAGACAATCAAAGTAATCAATCAATATTTTTCAAAGTGCCTATTAACCCAGGTGGAGTATTCCCTATTAAAATTTTTACCACCAATTATCCAAAATTCGAAGTAAATGATGACACTTCCAAGCGAACACAAAGCGGCTGTGAGACAACCGGCGAGGCATTTGAGCGGCAAAGAAGAGAAATTCAACGCGGAGGAGAGGACGAACAAGACGAAGCAACACCCGAAATCTGCCGATAACAAACCGGTGAAGAAGAAACCGGCGATAAAGTTGCTGGTTAGAGAATTGAAAATGTCGAAGGCGATCCAAACCGACCCGTTGAAAGGCAATCTTTTCAACGACAATCCTTTCGACGATCCCAAATTGCCAGAAACCAAAACGAAAAAATACGACATTGATAAATTATTCACCAAACCGGTCGAAAATACGAAACAAATCGAAATCAACGGTTTGCTGGACAACCTCGAAATTCTCATCGGCGACACGCAAGCTTCCTATCCCCCGGAACCCTCGGTATCGCAGGAAAGCAACGTCTACGCCACCAAATCCGATCAATTGATCAAAACCAACGAGGAAAATCCCAGCAATTCCAGCGATCCCAAATGCCTGTCGGTCATACTGAGCGAAGACGACTTAGCGCCGCCCAAACAACAGCAACAACAGAAGAAACCCAAATTCACCAAGACCAAATCGCTGTCGAACGTCACCGACGACAAATCCTCCAACTCCTCCAAAGTCTCCAAAGCCGAGATGACGCTGCTGCAGAAACAGAAGGCGCTGGAAAAGTGGAGGAAGATGGGCAGAAGGCGAAACGAGTGCGAGCGGCGACATCGCGAGAAGAGATTGAAGAAATTGTTTAAGTATTGAATCCAGCCGAAACCGCTAAGTGAGTTAGAGGAAAGAAAAGTTTTTTTTATAATTGTAAATCGAATAAAAAGTGTGAAATAACTGAGTTTTTGTAATTATATTGTTCAGTCAATGATTGTTGTAACCACGATTCAATAAATTTTAGTGATACTACCAAACGCTCGATTTTCCTATTCCTTGCGGATTCCCGAGAGCTGAATTTTATTCAATAAGCGACAATCCGGTCGCTGCGAAATGTTCGATTCAATTACGAGATACATTCGCATAAACACTTACACGCTAAACAACACAGCGGCGGACACGCGGACGGACATACGACCCGTGTACCCTGCCACGGTCTCGGCGGTGTCAATCACCAATGAATAATGTAATTAGAAAGCAATCAATCATCGAGCGCGGAAGCGCAGCTGTGCTTCTCCCACTGTGGACGCGCTATTACGACGCGATCAATTATCGGCTCCGGCCAGCATTAAAAATAAACAGGAATAAGTAATAGCGGCGGACACTTTAGCACTTTGCCCGTCGCAACTTTAACGAGCTCATCGGTGCGTTTCGGATTTTTTAATTTGGTCTAATGGCCGCAGAAGGCCGGCTTCGCCATTACGATTTTGATAGATCCCTTCATTAACAAAACACTAAAAAAACCCACGACAAAAAAAAGTGGAAGTGAAGTTATAATAAGTGAGCTGCTGGTAAATAACCAATTGACTATGACATAAAGATCAAACAAACGTCGCAAAATTCAACGTTAAAGAAATCTCGTATTGTAAAAATATATATTTGCAACTATTCCGTTTAATATAAAAAAAATGTCAGCCAAGAAGGAATCGAAACAGAAAAACAAGTCGAATCGCTGTTTGAAATTGTCGAAATTGACCGGGAACACGGACTTGCGGAAGACCAGCGCCGATGACGACGCCGAGAAGCGGAGGAAAATCAAGGATTGGTTCCGGAGGAAGGACAGCGAGGTGAAGTGGGCGATGATCTTCGAGAATTTCCTGCAGAAGAAGCGGGAAATCGAGACGGCGATGAGGCTGAAGAGGTTCCTGAACGATTTGGAGATAAGAAGCAGGTTGAGGAAATGGAGGACGCAAGGGGAAAATGCGATGGGCAAAAAGAAAATACAGAAAAGCGGGAATGAAGAAATACAAAAGAAATTCGGTAAACAACAGAAGCGCAAGGAAACTAAAGAAATAAAAAAGAAGACCAACGATAAACCAGCAGATGAAGTTAAAAAACAAACCGAAATCGCAGAAAGTTCTTCTAACAACCAGAAGAAAATACCACTAAACCCCAAGAAAAAACCTAAGAAGAAGTCCAAATTTTAACCTAAACATAATACCGTCTGTAAAAAGTTTTTGTTCCTAGTTGCAAAATATATTGTTCTCGAAATTGACACGTTGATTTATTTACCTACACGTCACATTAAACCAAACGTCTTCGTTACCTAATCAAAAATCGCAAATTTTAGTGAATGCAAACCGTACAAAGAAAAAAAATCTTTAAAGGACTGCGAAAACCTTTGTCGTTTCTTACACTCGAAGAATTCGCCGCTCTCGATCCCAAAGAAAAGGAAGACAGAATAAGAGAATGGAATCTGAAGCAAGAAGCTCTCAGAATCCAACAACAACGCCCGAAAAGGGATAGCCGAAAGACCAATACAAAAAA